ATTAATGATTATCGCTATTAGAAGTCTATTCAATTCTTTGAAGGCAAGAAGGGTTATACTGAATATATCTACAAAGTAATTAAGAAAACTAGATCTTATAAACTTCTTAATATTTTTCACTTTATCACTGTCTAATCGTGAAATGATAAAAAATATAATGATAACGAAATAGCGAAGATGAAATAGCGATATTGAAATAGCGATAATAATAAAAAAGCAAATATAGATATATATAACAAGATAAAAGAAAAATAGATATTCTAACGGTAACTCTTGTGATCTCCTAAAGTAGATATAAATTTGAAATATTATAAAATTCAAATATTTTTCTTAGCCGACGTTCCCTTACGCGTAATATTATTTTTGTATATCTCTTTACTTACTGCAAAATAGCAGATTGTTTTTCCAACTCTTTAAGCTCTTTTTGTTTATTTAACAGGTTTTGTAGTTCATCTGGAGTAAATTTAGTTTGCAAAAGAGTTTTGCAAGTAACCAGTTGTCCTTGTAGCTGCCCTTGAGTATAAGAATTACTGCTCACATTTTCTGAATCAATAATTTGTTTGTTAGTCTGCAAGAAAAGATCTAAAATGGTAGTTAAGCTATCACCTGCTTTATTTTTAGCGGTAGATGTTAATTGTTCAAAGCAGTTTTTTTGTTCTTGAAAATGGGGATTAAAATCTTTCAATTTAAGTTTTTTAATTTCTTGTTTTAGTTTATTAAAATCAAGATCAGTACAGCTCAAAACTATGTTATTTAGTTCTTGAAATTGACTAAGTGTAGGTGTTTGTTGAATCTTTTGATTTAAATCAGCTATAGTTCGATCTTTTTGGGCTATAGTTTGATCTTTTTGGGCTATGGTTTGATCTTTTTGGGCAAGAGATTGTTTTAAATTTGCAACTTCAGCCTCTAATTTTTTATCTTCGACTAATCTATATGGTATAATTGTTTGCTCTCTCAAATATTTCTTTGTTTTTGACCATACACTACCATTATTTTCATAATAAGATACAATTATTCTATCAAGTTGTATTTCTTTAACTAGCAAAATAAAACTATTGTTTTCCAAAAAGTTATCGTCAGAATTCGGTTTTACTATTCTGCTTAATTTTTCATTTTTACTAATATCTATACTTTCTAAAATAAATCGAATACTATGATCAAAAGTGATTTTTCTGAGATTAGGAAAAGATCCCAAATCTAATTCGCCATTGAGCTGTTGTCCAGAAATATTATAATCATAATCATAAGCATAAAGTTGCTCGCCCGAAATGGATGTTTGGCATTGACCTTGTTTAAAATATATATGCTTCGTTCCTGTCTTTTGGTCATTATTCAAGTGATTAAATATCGTCTGTGCCATAATTGAGTTGATTTCAAATTATAATTTTCATTGTTGCTCAATAGCCCCCTTTTATTTATTTATTTTAGTCGTGAAAAGTCGTGAAAATAAAGTTCATTACAAAGTGTCTGAATCCAAACATATTTATTGATATGCAATGCGTATAATCAATACATATATGTAGTTGGTGCATCATGTGAGTCGGCGTATCTCCAGAAAAAATTAAAAAGGAAACAATGAAAAAAAGAAGAGAAATATGAACAACGGTTTGGTTGATCTAAATGCTTTATATATTTTCTTGCGCCTGTATGTCAAATACATACAGATAATGTTTATTTAAATCATTACTTTTAGCTAGTCAATAAATTTAAATTACAATACCCTTAAAACAGTTCACGTTAGTGCGCTAAGCAAACCAGATTGTTTATTCTTAGATCATGTATTAAACCCAAGGCCACGAAATTTATTTGATATACGGGCTTTATATGCCTAATTCGAACAAAAGATATTTTGTCCAAATTAGATGTATGAAGTATTTCACATTCTTATGCATTTTGATAGTTTTTACTGTAGATTACGGAATTCAATTTCCGATGATATTAAATGGCGTTATCAAATGCATAAGAATGTGAATTTCAAATTCTCTGAGAATGTTAAAATTAAGTTTAATAATGTAAAATAATTGATCCTGAATAAACATTGTTCTAATGAATCAACTTTCACCATTTTTCCGTGTAGGATGAATTAACCTTTTTTTTTTTTAAGCAGATTCGGTTGGCTTGGAGTATGTATATAATTATTTACTCCGGAGAACACAGTACTAGTTTGTATGCCTAAGTTCAGCAATTCTTAATTTTTCCTAAAATTTTATTGAACTGTATCAATTTTAAAAATCCTATATTTTTGCTGTTAAGCAAGTAATAATATAACGACACGATTCACATATAAAAATGGTTTAATGAAGTTGAATGCAGTAGACTGAAAACCTGTGACTGCACTTAATGATTTATTATGTACACCATCAAAGTATTATTACGCCGAACTGCTTTTTATGACGGATATTGTATACGTTTAAGGATAATTGCAGCTACGCATCGAGTCATTCGTGTATGGCGACATGATTACTTTATCAATTATCGAGTCGCAGGAACTACCAATTCCCAGAAAAATATCATTATTTATACTCTGGTCACTATATCAAGATCGCAGGGTATAAATCAGTTATATCCTGGGTAGTATGTGTATGAACGGCAATTTCATTTCCGCTTACCAACTACCCACGAACCTAGTATACCCCTAAAAAAAATTGCGAAACTGAGTTTAAATTTAAAATGCAGGTTTAATTATACAGTAATAATGATGACGGTTATGATTCTTATATTGTATAAATAATCGATTCTTAATCAAGAATTGTTTTGCTTTTCACTCAAAAGCTACTGATTAAGTTATACAATGTCAAGTGAAATAATCAAGCACAGCCACTTGTTTAAAAAAGTCGAAGATTTTTCTGAAGAAAGAAGGAGCTGTAATGAGTGCTTAGAGCGTGCAAGAACAAATTCAAAACGGCGATATGAAAAGAGAATAAAAAAAGGTTTTTAACTCAAAATTATATTTCTTAAAATAATCTAATACAATTCATTGATATGGATATGTATGTATATTTAACTATAAATTAAAGGTATATCGAAATAAAACCTATCTGATTATATGATCAAACGTATCGGCCGATTTGCCAATCATGATTGAGAATTATTTGTCGCTGGAATTTATTATAAAGTAAGTTTTTACAAAAATGGTCTTTTAAACATACTTTGAATCCATAATTGAGTATAAAGAATATTGCAATATCTACATGTTTAATTAGATAAAAGTAAGTTTAAAAGGTCGTTTGCCTCAAAAATTGCTTCCGAATTCACCCTTACCCATTCTACAACCGATCGTTCTCAATGACAAACCGATCGTTCACTACCCGAAAATGTCCGAACGCTTCAACAACTAGTGATAGTGCTTTCTTTTACGGCTTAGTGTATCTGTGTTTTAGTATTTATTGCTTGTTTATCTCATACAGAGGCTAAAAAAAAACTTTTTTTATTAAATGATTCGTTTGTTATTCTCACGTCACTTAGTGGCAAAAGTTCGTGTAACTGTTTACCCCTAAAAATCAAATCGGATGCCATAATTTCACAAATTTATGGTGTAAAAATATGAATTCGATTTCAGATAATGAAATAATGCTGACGGAAACAGATTAGAGACTGGACTCGAGCCAACTCGTAGCTTAAATAACATAGTCTTAACTCGAGTTAATTCGAGTTAAGACTATGTTTTTTAAGCTACGAGTTGACTCGAGTCCAGTCTCTAAAACAGACGATGAAACAAATTCCAGCAATGATGAAAATGCAGTTGAAAAATGAAATTGTTGAACGGTTATCAAAAATATTAAATGAGTATACTATATTTATAATTTATTAATTTTAATATAATACAAATATTAATAAGATTTTATATAGGCAAACACTTTTATTTCTAAGTCGTCTGAGCTTCTTTAGCAAAAAAAGTGGTTAAAAAATATCGGACTAAATTTTAAACCAGGTTAATAATTTAAAAGGTTTAAAAATGCAAAAAATTTGGGCGGAAAGAAATAAAAATACATTTTTATTGGGAATAAATTACTATAGTTTTTTTTGTTTATATTTACAAATAATTTGTCAAAAATACAAACATTAAAACGCATAAATTTATTCTGCAAAATTCGTTATAACAAAACAATTAATACATACAAGTGACTCTCGACATAAGAAACCTTCGATATAAGACTAATTAAACTCTCGATATAAGAAAGTCAAACCAAAACCAGTCTATAATAAATCCACTCGATATAAGAAAGTTATTAATAAATTTTCTGATATTGTAAAATTTTTACTATTGAACCCGAACACTTTCTTATATCACTTGTATATATAATCACTTATTCAAATTTGGCATTCAAATTGTAGTGTATATAAATTTTCAATCTAATTTTCTACTATAGAGCAAAGTGTAAGGGAGAATATGGCTTTTCTACTATTGAGCAAAGCTAATGGAGAATATGACTTATAATTCTTGTAATTTTGAAGAGTGAGTGATGGAGCAAAAATTTGGCGGTCCCGTGATTTTTATCGGACCGCCAAATTTTTGCGCCATTACTATTTCACAATTTTGAAAACGGAACTTTTTGTTCTGAAAATTTAAACTCAGCTTCGTAACTTTTTTTTAGGGGTATACTAGTGCGGTTAATTTTTTTAGGAGTATACTAGTGCGGTTAATTTTTTTAGGAGTATACTAGTGCGGTTAATTTTTTTAGGAGTATACTAGGTTCGTGACTAATTACTACATGACTGCATGATTCAATCTCACCATTGTTGACGTGACAATACTTAATCGTAACTTCCTTTGTAAAAAATTATTCATGATTGAGTTAGAATATTGAAAAATATATAAGATACACTATATAACAAAAAACAATTATTGGTTATATCGAATAAAAAATAACATCAGCTGATATTGGATTATTAATTTTATTAAAAATTCACAATTTCTTTACATCGACATAAATGCTTCTCTTATATTTTATTTTGAAAATGAAAAAGGTTAACACATAAATTCTCAAATACTATATTTATCATTTAAGTCTACGAACTTTATCAAGGACTGTTTCAAACTCAATATCATTAATTTCGGTGCCCTCAATTTGAAATGTGATTCCAAGTTTTGTTCCCAATACTTGTTTACTTGCAGCAGCGAGGACTTTATCATGAATATCGGCATTCGCAGGAATCCTATAAATATAATTCATGCATTAAATGAATTATACACTAAATGTTATATAGCAGTAGAAAACTTTTTTTTTTTAATCACATACCAAGCAATAAATATAATTTTATTACGACGACCTTCGCCAAGTTTTTCATAATCAAAATCGTAAACAGCGAAATATGGAACATTTTTTCTAGTAATTTCTGTATAAAATTTCTCATAAGATTCTTTATAAT